CCCCCCCCCCAGCATACAGCAAAGAGAAGTTTGACTCCACCGTACTGCACCAGCGGAGAAAGAGGGAGGAGGAAAACCTGCCCGATGACGGCCAAGGTCATGTGCAGGTAAGTCAAGGCCACTGACCAATAACATATTAATCTAATAATAGTATGCAGAATTTAAATGTAGACTGTGTTGGTTAGTTGTTTTTGCTGTTTTTGTTGTTGATGTTGTTGTTGCTATTGTTATTATTGTTTTTGTTGTTGTTGTTGTTACAGTTGTTGTTGTTTCTACTGCTATTGTTGTTGTTGTTGTTTCTACTGCTATTGTTGTTGTTGTTGAATGTGATAACTGCCATATGCATGTACCAGAATAAGAAAAAAAGAGGGGGAAAAGGAGAATACAATATAAAGGGAGACGAACGATAAAAAGGATATAAAGGGAAGAGTAAAATGAGTGACAGAAAAAGTTAAACGTAGTGAAAGAAGAGTGAAAGAAAGAAAAAAGAGAGAAAAAACAAGAAAGTGAGAGAGAGAGAGAGAGAAAGAAAGAGAGCGTATGAAGGAGAGAGCGCGAGAGAGAGATAGCGAGAGAGAGAGCGAGAGAGAGAGAGAGAAAGAGAGAGAGAGAGAGAGAGAGAGAGGAGAGAGAGAGAAAGAGAGAGAGAGAGAGCGAGGGGGGAACAGTGACCATACAGGAAAAGTAAAAATCTGAGAAGTACATGATGGAAAAATAAAAAGGTTTATGGACATGCATGTTCTCATATTTCGGTTGAATAAGCTAATATTATATAATAAATAATTTATATTGTACATTTCCAGATTTGGCGTGTGGAGCACAACGACTTGGTACCCCAGCCTGAGGATACCTACGGGATCTTCTACACTGGAGATTGCTACATCGTCCTCTACACCTACAGGAAATCGGGAAGAGAGTGTTACATTCTCTACTTCTGGCAGGTACGGCGTTCTTTGGGAAAGTGTGGGATCGTTTGGTGACGTATTTTTTTATTTTTTGTTTGTTTGTGTTTTTGTTCCATTTTTGCTTGGTTGTTGCTTTGTTGGGTCTTTAATTGGTTTAAGGATGAGTTAAGAGGAAAGACAGAGAAGAGATAAAGAGGGAGGAAGACAAAAATGGCGATAAAGGAAGAGTGGAGAGAGGGGAAAGATGGTACATGGTCTGAAAAAAGTGAACTAGAGAAAGGGAGAGAGAGAAAAGAGAGATAGAGAGACAGAGAGGGAGAGAGAGCGAGAGAGAGTGAGAGAGGGGGGGGAGAG